TCCCCTCTATTACTCCCACTCATCCCTTCTCCCCCTTTCTTGGAACAATTTCAACAGGTTTCATTGTTCTATTTTTACATGTGTATAGAATATATACTCCTCATTCTCTCTCCTTTCTCCCTCCCCCTCCTGCTGGTACCCACCCCAAGATCCCAAACAGAACCTGTTTAGCATTCCGGTTGTTAGTTTTTAGGGCTAGAGTCCACATTGAGAGAGCCTTTCTCACTCTGGTTTATTTTGCTTAGCATGATGACCTTCAGTGCATCCATTTTCCTATGAATTACATAATTTCATTCTTCTTAATGGTTGAATAACACTCCATTGTGTTCTCCAAGGATATTTTTACCAAGTACGGAAAATTTTTTTAGTACTCTAAAGCTGTTCCACACTCTTCTGGATTCAGTGTTCTTTACTGAGAAATTGTATTCAGATCATCATTCCTTACATCAGACAAAGGACTGATAACCAGAATATATAGGGAACTTAAAAAACTAAATTCTCCCAAAACTAATGAACCAATAAAGAAATGGGCAAGTGAACTAAACAGAACTTTCTCAAAAGAAGAAATTCAAATGGCCAAAAAACACATGAAAAAATGCTCACCATCTCTAGCAATAAAGGAAATGCAAATTAAAACCACGCTAAGATTCCACCTCACCCCTGTTAGAATAGCCATCATCAGCAACACCACCAACAACAGGTGTTGGCGAGGATGCGGGGAAAAAGGAACCCTCTTACACTGTTGGTGGGGAATGTAAACTAGTACAACCACTCTGGAAAAAAATTTGGAGGCTACTTAAAAAGCTAAACATTGATCTACCATTTGATCCAGCAATACCACTCTTGGGGATATACCCAAAAGACTGTTACTCCAGAGGCACCTGCACACCCATGTTTATTGCGGCACTATTCACAATAGCCAAGTTATGGAAACAGCCAAGATGCCCCAGCACTGACCAATGGATTAAGAAAATGTGGTATCTATACACAATGGAATTTTATGCAGCCATGAAGAAGAATGAAATGTTATCATTCACTGGTAAATGGATGGAATTGGAGAACATCATTCTGAGTGAGGTTAGCCTGGCCCAAAAGACCAAAAATTGTATGTTCTCCCTCATATGTGGACATTAGATCAAGGGCAAACACAACAAGGGGATTGGACTATGAGCACATGATAAAAGCGAGAGCACACAAGGAAGGGGTGAGGATAGGTAAGACACCTAAAAAACTAGCTAGCATTTGTTGCCCTTAACGCAGAGAAACTAAAGCAGATACCTTAAAGCAACTGAGGCCAATAGGAAAAGGGGAACAGGTACTAGAGAAAAGGTTAGATCAAAAAGAATTAACCTAGAAGGTAACACCCACGCACAGGAAATCAATGTGAGTCAATGCCTTGTATAGCTATCCTTATCTCAACCAGCAAAAACCCTTGCTCCTTCCTATTACTGCTTATACTCTCTCTACAACAAAATTAGAAATAAGGGCAAAATAGTTTCTTCTGGGTATTGAGGGGGGGTGAGAGGGAGGGGGCGGAGTGGGTGGTAAGGGAGGGGGTGGGGGCAGGGGGGAGAAATGAACCAAGCCTTGTATGCGCATATGAATAATAAAAGAAAAATGAAAAGAAAAAAAAAAAAAAAAAGAAGATCGTCATTCTTGGAATGGAATAACATACAAGAACATGTCATTTTTTCCAGGCCTTTCAAGATTTTTAATTTATCCTGTTTCAGCAGTTGGATTATAAGTATCTATGTGTTATTTTCTTCGCAGTTAACTTGTTTGGGTGTTGCTTAGTTTTTTGAATCTGTAAATGTATGTCTTTCATCAACTTTGGGATGCAGTGGCCTTTGTGTCCTCCAGTATTTTTTGGCGCTAGTCTCTTTCTCCTCAAATGACATGAGTCTTAAACCCTCTGGTGTTGTTCCATTGGTCCCTTAGGCTCCTAATTTTTTCAATCTTTTTAAATTTTTTCTCTCTTTTTCAAGCAGGATAATCCCTATTGCTCTATCTTTAAGTTCATTGTCTCTTCTCTCCGTCACTTCCATTCTGCTATGAGTCTATCCAGTGAATATTTTATTTCAGGTGTTATATTTATGTTCTAAATTTTCCATTTGATTCTTTCTTATATAGTTTCTGTATCTCTGCTGTGAACAACTGTCTTTCCATCTATTCCATGCTATAAAAGTCACTTCTAAGTCTTTTATAATAATTCTGATATTTACATCATCTTAGAGTTGAAATCTGGTGATTTTATTTTCCCTTGAGAACTGGACACATTTTTTCTGGTCATTTGTATGTTGAATGAGTTCAGATTGTGTCCTGGACATTGTGAATGTTATATTGTGTAGACTCTGGGTTCTGTCATAAAACTCTGTACAATGTCAATTTTATTGTTATTGTTATCTCAAGAAGCAATCAACCAATTTAGGATCAGATCCTAAATTCTATTTCACCTTCTGTAGGTGGTGGTCCTAATCTCAGTGCATTGTCACAAGAGAAAAAAAAAAAAAAAGGAAAATCACCCCAGGGAGATTACTTCTCCAAATTTTGACCCCCTTACATCATCTGCCTGGTTTTGTTTAATTTTCAGCATCATTAGGTAATTGTGTTTTATATTTTTGCCCAAACTTTTTAGGTGTTAAAAAGTAGGGGAGGTAAGCTGTAGTGTATTTACTCCATCTTAGCCAGAATTTGAAATTTATGTTCGGTTTCTTTTGATTTCTGAAATTTAAAAAAGCTAAGTGGGCCAGGCACCAGTGGCTCACAGGTATAATCTTAGCTACTTGGAGGCTGAGATCAAAAGGATCATGGTTAGAGGCCAGCCTGGCAAATAGTTTGAGACTCCATCTCCAAGATAACCAAAGCAAAATGGACTGGAGTTGTGGCTGAAATGGTAGAGCTCCTGCTTTGCAAGTGCAAAGCCCTGAGTTCAAACTCCAGTTCCACCAAAAAAAAAAAAAAAAAGCTAAGTGAAATGAAGCTCCAGTGATAGACACAGAAAAGTCAAAGAGCAGGAGCAATAGTCAGTATCTCCTCCATGCTCAGAATCCTGTTGAGATGATAGAGTTCTCCTCCTAAACTGTGGTATTGTGGTGCCTGAGCCAAAATAATTACTTCTGTGTTTTGGATGAGAAGACTAAGGAAGAGCTGTCATTTGCTTGTTTGGTCCCAGATCTAATCCTTCACTTTCTCTTGCTCTGTATTACATGCACTGATCATTGCAAACTGCACTTCCCAAAATTCCCTAAAAATTAGCTTTTAGTTAGATACTGCCAATAGAGGTACTAGCATGAAACTGGAGGATAAGAGAAAAGCAGAAACCAGAGTATGTCTCCCACTCTCTCTGGTATGGGCAGCCTCCCAAGCAATGAATTTTTCATTCTGTGACAAGTTTTTCATTGCTGTGACAAAATACTTGACATAAACAACTTAAGAGAGGAAAGGTTTATTTTGGTTCACAGTTTCAGTCCATGGGAGAGAGGTTGTGGCAGAGGAGAACAGCTTACCTCATGGTGGCCAGGAAGCAGAGAGAGAGAATGCCTGCATTGGCTTCTCCCTCCTCCTCCCTTCTTTATTCCATCTGGGCCCTCAACTTATGAGATGGTGCTGCCTACATTCAGGTGTGTCTTCTCTCCTTGGTTCATCCTCTCTGGAAACATCTCACAGACACATCCAGAGTGTGCTTTATTGATCTCCTAGGCACTTCTAATCCAAGCAAGTTGACAGTCAAGATTAACCAGTGCAGGCTCTGTTGCTTTTATGTCTGGCTTCCTTGGATGCCCTCTCCTTCAGTGTCCCTGCTGGGCTTCCCAGTTTCCTCAGCTGGGCACTACCACCTCCTCTCCTTGTCCCTCCACCTGAGGGTTAGGGACAGTTTCCCATTGTACCTGACTATCCCATTTTCCCTTTCAACATCTTAATAACCTATTTCCTCAGTTAGACTCCAGGCATAGGACAGGGGTTATAGCTCAGTGGTAGAGTGCTTGCAGGGCATGTGCAAGACCCTGGGTTCAATGCCCAACACCACCATGAGCAAACTCCTGGCATAGGTTCTGTTTTTCTAGACTGGGACAGTTACAGTCCATGGGGTAGAGCAGCAGAAAAAAAGCCCTAGCTCCAGTCTCCTGGTTCAAATGCAAAAGTCTCCCCAATGCTGGAAGGGAACGAGCTACCTTCTGGCCACTATTTGTACAGGAATGTAAAAGATAGTTTTCATTGCATAATCATTTTTAGGAAAGATCTTATATTCGTGGACCTCTCCCTTTCATGTTAGAACTATGCATTATCTATTAGAATGTTGACTTGTTCTCCCCTAGGTACCTACCCTCCCATGTGCTCTGTTAGCCCAGGTAGCAGGTAAGACTTAGCAAATGGAAGTGACCCAGGAAGAAGACCCAGCAGAGCAGGCAGTGGGAATGGAATAAGAGTCAGAGCTGGCACTGGGGTGGGCTCCAGTTAACATGGCAATGGTGCTAAGGTAGAAGATGGGGGAGGGGGCTACATGTCAGGAGCGAAGCAGGGAATCCAATGGGTTCTGAGAGATGTCAGAGGCTTTGCAGCTTCCCCAAGGCCATAAGGCTGGACTGTGACAGGGAGGGATAGAAGAACAGTTCTTGGCAGTCTTAAGAAGTGGGCACAAGGACCAAGTTGGATTGGGGCCCAAAGACAAAGGACAAAAATGCCAAATCCAGTCCAGGTCAGCAGGGTGGTACTTCCTGGTCTATGTAATGCTGGGGATGTATAAGACAGAAATAAAAGCACAGCCAGAGCTAGGCATGGTGGTGCCTGTCTGTAATCCCAGCTACTCAGGAGGTGGAGGCAAAAAGATTGCATATCCAAGATGGACCAAGCAAAGTTAGTGAGACAAAAGGGCTCAGTAGTAGAGCTCTTGCCTAGCATATGAAAGACCCTGAGTTCAATCCCCAATGCCCAACACAAACAAACAAAAACAAAAGCAAAGCCAAAAAAACTACCATGGCCAGCAACCTCTGTCACAAAAGATCTTTAATGGCCTTTATTTATGGTTCTTTTGTTCATTTGTCCTGTTGGAGCTGAATAAACTCTAATAACTTATCTGACAGAATAAAGAATGCCACAGGTAACAGGTTAACCTGGAAGTGGTCCAGGAATGAAAGTGTCACAAATAGTCACTTCACAGAAGGGCCACAGACCCAAAGACCATTCCAGCCACACCTAGAACACACACATGCCAGCTCTCACTCCCCAGAAAGAGGCAGCCTTGCAGCCTCGTGACTGGACCTTAACACATAGCAGAGACGCCCAGGAAGAGAGGGCACATCCTGCCTTCATGCTGCTGAGGGCTCTACAGGTCGTTAACTCAGGCCTAGGCCTCACCTGCCTCTCATATGCTACCACCTGTGGCCTTTGAACTAGCCTTGTGAGGTGGGCGGAGCCTGGCACTAGCCCCATCTCCAAGGGCACACTTGAACTGAATATGAAGTACCAGCTGGCTCTCTCTGGTGCAGATGGCAATGCCCTGAGAGGGGGGTTCAGGCAGGACTAGATGCCAAGGGCCGGTTCAGGTCTTACCAAAGTGCCCACCTGCTAGTGAGTCGCCTTAAGGGGCCCTGGCAGAGGGGCAGGCAGGGAGACAATTCAGGGGAGTGCAAGTGGGGGTCCAACCTCTCTTCTTGTCCACAAATTTGGTCATCCACAAATGTGGGGACAGAATCCTATTAGCATTACTCAAGGGACGCATGCTACTTAAAAGGTCTCTGTGGAATCCTGCTCTCAAGAGAGGGGCTTTTGTCAGAAAAGTCTTACCTCTATGTGTCTCTTATATGAATTTGGATTTCTGCCCATCTGGCTGTATGTAAAGAGAAACCTGGCTCTGGGTTCCTCTACTCCCATCACCCTGCTCCTCCTGTCATCTCGAAGACCTAGGCCAGAAGCTGGGTGTCACCCAGGGGTGCAGATACAAGCCCTGGGTGGGAGTTGGGTCTGTTTCCTTGCTCCATGGTCCCCATGCTGCATGGAACAATATCAAGGATCAAGCCCCTTCCTCACTGAGCACCAGGCCATTCCCAAATCAATTCCAGGCAAGAACTTCAGGGTGGGTCAGTTAGGAAACTACTCTGTGTGTGTGTGTGTGTGTGTGTGTGCGCAAATGCTTGAGCCTGAGACCCAAGTTCCAATACAAAGTGCTGGAATGGCTAGAGCCATTTCAACATGAAAAGCAAGAATAGAACCTCTGCTTGCTGGTCTAAGATCAAACCTCAGAATGGTGGTTTGAAGTTTTTCATCAAAATAAAAGCGAAACCTCAATAGGCAAGAGAGATAAAAGCAGTTGTTCTGGTGGAAGTGGGAATGGCGGGAGGGCTGGAGTCTCAGCCTTTGCCCCCATTCCTATCGTTTCCACCCCCATAGCAGCCCCTGACAAAGTTCTGTGGAATATCAGGGATTCCACTCCATAGTACCTGGTTAGAAAACCACTGTATCAGAGTATCTATAAATCAGGGGTCCCAGGGACCTGTGCTTTGACTTCCCTTTTCGGGTGACAAGTTGGGAGAGGCCTCCCATTAAAGGTAGTTTATAGTGCCCCTGCAGGGGAGTGGTAGAGGTGGAGATCCCCCCCATAGGTAGGCCACTTCATCCAGGAAAAATGGAAAAAGTGATGCCTGGGCCAGAATGGCAAAACTCCAGGCCCAAGGCAGGCTGTAGGAATGAGGATCAGGGGGGTCTCATTTAGTCTGAAAAGTATCCTAAAAGGCACAGAGGCCTGGGACCATGAGACCCTATGAGTTCAAAATTGGGCTTAATCATTTCCTCCTAGATGAGTGGGCATGGACAGGCCCTAGCCAAAGGCTGGAGTTTCTGCCTATCTGGGCCACAGAAACCCCACTGTAGATAAACCAGGGCTCAGTTCTAAGGGCAAGAGGCCTGGGCTTTCACTGGGCCTGAGGACCACCCCTCCCACCAAGGGTCACCAAGACGCTGTGGTAGCTCAGTTGATCCCAGACAGAGCCTCATACTTTGAAGGGAACAAGGAGGCAATTTCTTTTTCTTTTCTTTTTTTTTTTGGGGGGGGGAGGTGGTACTGGAGTTTGAACTCAAGGCCTCACGCTTGCTAGGCAGACACTCTACCACTTGAGCTATTACACCAGCCCTGGAGCAGGCACTTTCTATCTCCCCTCACCCTTGGATTTCTTTGATTGGACAATGGATTCAACTCCTTGACCTAAGGTCAGAGCCAAAGCTTATTTAGCTCTGAGAGGTGGGAGATGTGGGTGACTCTAGGCCTGGAAGGATCAAAAGGCCCCTATCCCCCAATCACTCTGTGTTCCCTCCCTGTCCTGATTGCTGGGACCTCGGTCCTTGGGCATGGCATTCTGAAACAGTGTCTACACTTTTCTCCCAGTTGGGTCACCAAGGCCAAGTTCTGGCTTCTCATTCTGGTTGACATCTACCTAAATGAGAAGCAGGGCAAAGAGAAAACTGATGGGCAGTGGGCTCAGCCCACAGCAAACTTCCTATGTGACCTTGGGCCGTGCTCTGTAGTGGCAGGCCACCCCTGCAACAGTTTGAAACTTTCCAAGCACTGGCCACTGACTTTTATCTGAGCTTCACGGTACTTCCTTGAGTCAGGCAAGGAAGGGATTTCTGTTCCACTTCAGTTAGGGAAACTGAGTCCAAGAAGTTGAGTTCTTACTCAAGGCCACCCAGCTTGTTGGTGACAGACAGGACTGAGAGGTGACACTGGGGACCTTCAGGATAGCATTCCTTTCACTGCCCCATGTGGGAACCAGCTTGTCAGCAGCTCTTCCACTGGACTCAAACAAGATAAGCCCACCCTACCCTATCTAGGCTTGGAAGTGGAGGCCAGGGGTCCAGCCAAATTCTTGGTTGCTACACTAAGCAAGTCTAGCTGGCCCTATGCTTGTTGGACTTTTACCCAGGGCATGTTCTTCCTTCCTGCCCATACTGGCATTGGCATGTCACCTTCACGGCCCACTGGAAAGTCCCAGTGTGGGACTTCTTGGTTGGCACAGGCCCTGAATGCTCAGCACAGAAGTGGCCAATGCAATGGGTTAGTGCCAGGGGTCTAGTGAGGCTCCCCACCCTGTTTCACCCCAAGGTTTCACTTGGCCAAGTTGACCTTCTAGAATAGAGAGACCCTGCAGAGAAGCACTCAGTTGTGTTGGGGTGGGGAGGAGTAATACTAAAGAGGGTGTGGTGTCTGGAGCTGACCAGAAGTCTGGAAAGACATCTGGGTTCTCCTCAGGAAGAGACCAAAAGCCACTTTGCCTTCTGTGTCCCACAGTTGGCCCTCTGCAGCACACAGTTGTGTAGAAGGGCACCTGGCCAAAGGGCAAATGTTGCTGAAATCCAGGTGTCACTCACAAGGCTGTGCATTCTAGCATGGGTCTGAATCCACCCGGAAGGGTCATTGTGTCCTACTTCACACCAAGGCACTATATGGACCAGCAGCAGCCAAGGAGCCTTGAATGCAATGGCCCTCTTATTATTTCTCCCTATAACTTTCCCCTAACCATGACCCTCCTAAGGACAGGGGTTGGGATGGACTAATTTCAGTGTTTCTAGTGCTGGGCATAAAGATAATTTCAGCAAGGGTGGTCAGTTTAGCTTCCAATGAATTTGACCGTTGGTCTTGGGCAGTCCTGGCTGGAAGAATCAGGCATTTCCCTGCAGCTGGAGGAATTTCAGTTAACACTGGGATAAATCCAAAAGGTGAGTGGGATGTGCAGGTGTAGGAAGCTCAAGAAGCCAGCCTGGGAAACCCTTTGTGTGCACATGCTGAAGATGGGGACAGAGGTCTGCTGGGGAGCAGTTACCACAAATGCTAAAGAGTTCAGAGGAAGTGCTTGCCATGCACTGTTCTAGAATTTCATCAATTCTACAGGTGCCTAGGTGAGATGCAAACAGCCCAGCAAGCTCCAGCAGGGGCTGGATGCCTGGGGCACCTGCAGCTAGGATCCCAGGACTAAGAGTATGACTGCCCCCAGCTGACTAAGTTCTGACCTGAGAAGGGGTCTCTTAGGCTGACTGCCCATGAGATTTAGAAGGAGCAGGGTCAGGCTAGGTGACAGGGTCATTTGGCCATGAGAAATAGTTGCACAGAACATCCCTGGATGTGTTTGAGTTGGAATCCAACTCAAACAAAATGTTGTGATCTTGCTTTTTGGTCAAGTATAGGACTAGATAGAAGGGAGAGAGCCCTTTGCCCAGCTAATCAGTACATTTGCCTGAGTAAACCTCAGGGTTTCCACATCTTCAGGGGGTTTTGTGTGGTCCTGGAGACCCTATCACAAGCCCTCACCCCACCCAAGCCTCAGCAAATCCTTGTGATATTTAGGACCTAGGGCAGAGCAGTTCATGAAGGCTATGGCTCCAGCTTGAATCAGGCAACCCTTATGAGACCAACAAAGGCCCTTCCTAGACTTGAAGAATGGACTAGGTGCTGTCATCCATGCCACCTCTGAGGTTCGGTGAATCCCCTCTGGAGGGGAACGGAACAATCAGCAGCTTGGGCTCCACCTGTAGACCAACTGCTGTAATGCTCACAGGTTCTCAGTAGCAAGAGCTGGCAACCCTTTGGGATGATCTGGTCAAACTCCTGGGCTTTCCCAGTGAGGATCTGAAGCCCAAAGAGGTGAAGGAACTTGCCCAAGGTCACATAAGAAGTTAGCATCAAGATCAGACAAGGATAACTTTGAACACTTTCTACTTATCTCTTGTCTGCCCTATTGCCCTGGGAAATGGCACAGGTCCCATTCACCACCAGCCAATGGGTAGTAGGTTCCCATGACACTGGGAAGTACTAGGGTCATCAGTTCCCCCAAGGAAAGCAAAACAACCTCCTTCCATCTGGGAGCGGGCATCTCGATGGAGCCTGCCACCTTCTGGGAAAGGACCCTCTTTGATGGTGGGGACGGTGGTTTGCATGGCCAGCCCAGCCCAGCCCTGGAGAACTATAGGGGGCTCTCCAAGGCAACAGTGGGGACCCACTGCCTCTGGTCCTCCAGCTTTGCTTACTGCATGATCATCTAGGCCCACCAAGGAAGGGATATATGGTGGACTCCCATCTTATCACCACTGCCCCATCTCTGAAAGCCATGTCAGAAGCTTCAGTTCACTGCCAGGGGCTGATGCTTGCTGAAGACCCCCTTCCTCTCTCTGGGCATGTAGTTACAGATGGGTCCACACACAAAATACAAAGTAGTTAAGATGTCACATCTTGACAATACTGAAATACAAGTGGCTAGGTCACGCAGCATGCCTCAATCTAGGTATCTGCTGATAAAAAAGTGTCCATTGATTTTCTCCATTCTTAGGCTCTATGTACCTTCACCAATGTCACTATCAGACACAGGGACATGGGCCAAGGATGAGGGTAGAAAGGGTCTTTGTGGGTCTGAACTGCAAAAAAGGTATTAAGAATCTAACCACAGTTCTGCCCTTCCAGCCAGAAAGGGCTTGCCCTCAATACTGTCACCTTTTAGCTGCCAGAACTATGTCACCGCCTAGGACTGCAGGCATCTTGTGTGTCTTGAGCCCTCGTGCCCACCCCCATGCCGTCATGCCCACCATCACTGCACCCCTCCTGCTTCACCCTCCCCCTTTTGCTCCCTGTCTCAAGGCAAGTCCCAAGGCCCAGGGCTGTGGTGGCCTTTCTGGGAGTGAGCATGAAAAGTGGGGAGGACAGGTGACCGCAGAAAGAGGAGTGAAGGTGGTGGTCCTTTTGGCATGGTGATTTGGAGCCAGTCCTGAGGCCAGAGTTCATCACTGAGACCTGGAAGACCACCTTCTAGGGAAGGACCCCCTTTGATGGTGGGTATGGGGGCCCCTGGTAGAAACTGGAAGAACAAAGGGGAAGGGAAACCAGAACGGGAAGACAACGAGTAAGCATCCGAGTGCAAGAAAGTGGACCTGGAGCCGCCCGGAGGGAGGGCCAGCCCCAGTCTATCTGTCGTTGAGGTGTGGAGAGCCAGTACCATCCTCTTCTTCCTCCTTGTCATCTTTCATGCCTTTCAGTCTCTGGCGGGCAAAGTCCTCAAATACAATGTCGTCATCACTGGTGGGAGAGACAAGGAAAATGTGGCATGTTTCTAGGGGCAGAGATTGTTAGGCATATCCAGAGGCCTGGCCAGATGTGACACAGAGGGACCCAGGACATGAACCACTCTCTCCAAGGTCTCTGGCTCTGAGGCTGACCTTGAGCAGAAAGGCCTGCCAGGTCCACCAGTGGATATAGGGACAGTCACATATGGACTTGGGAAAGTTGTGAAAGGCTAGAGGGGGCATAAGCTTGGCTGTCATGCCAAGGGCTAGAAAAGTGACCCTATTCTTGAGGGGGTGGGGCATGTCAAATATGGGGAGCAGTGTAACTCTGAGGCCAACAGAAGAAATCATTCTCACTGTGAGAGGCCAGGCCACCCATTATTTCACTACCTGTTTTGAATCCCCCAAGGATTGGACTCAATGGAAGCAAAAGCCACAAAGGCCCTTTCTCCCAGGAAATATCAGCTCACATGATACCTCCTGTAGGATCATGCATAGGGGCAGGAGACTAGTGAATCTACATAGGGGACAGAGGCAGGGTAGGGTAAGGGATGCCCAAGTGGGGCTGCAGTACTAAGGACTGTTTCCCCTCTAACACACACACACACACACACACACACACACACACACACGTGCACTTAGGACCAGGCAGGGGCACCCCCAAGTCCCCTGCTCCATGGAGTTCAGCCAGCTCCATGGGGCATCCTGTAGGGGTGACTTGAGACCTCGGATCCCAGATTTCTCCCGGGGACAAAGGAAGGGTGGCTTTTGGAGCTGGAGCGAGAAAGCCTCTTGGCCCGGGAGGTGATTCGTGCTGTTGGCCCAGGTCCTCCCCCTCTCTGGCCACTGTCAGGTGCCCCGATGGCCTTCCATCGCAGGGAAATCCACGTCTGTTGGTCCTCAGGAGTCAGAAGCAACAGGACCCAGACCCTTTCCCACCCCAAAGCCAGTTGGGCATGGGCAGGGCCAGAGCCAAGCCCAGGATCCCAACCAGCCCAGTGCGAGCTGAACAGGCGCTGAGGATGGACGAACGGACTGACGGACGTGCAAGGACGAGGGAGGAAGACAGACCCCACCAAGGCAGGAGAGGAACAGGCACGGAGGGTCCTTCAAGTCACATGCAGGCAAGCAGGTTGCTGAAGAGGCGAGCAGAGGCGGCTCTCAACAGACAGGTTAGACCAGTTGCTTCTCAGGGGTTAATAAGCATATATGCAAATGAACCCTCCGCCCCGCCCCCGGGCCCGCCCCCCAGGTAGCTACAGGCAGGGTTTGGCTTACTTCGTGTCAAGTTCTATGAGATTGGTGTCTACTGGTGCTTCGTTTTCTGGAACTGAACACAGGGCAGCCAAGGTGCCCAGAGGTTAGTGGGGGGATGAGGAATAAGGGGTGAGGGTGAGGACAGGTGGGACAAGCTCTCATCCTGGGACCAGTAGGCTAAGATGGGTAGGGGACAAGAAGAAGGAAAGGTTCCAGGTGTAGGTACAACACCAAATCATCTTAAAGGCAGGGGGTGCTGGGAGAGCCCCGGATGTGCACTGCAGACCTGCTTCACAGACAGGTCTCCAACATGACTTAGATTAATTTCTTGTCAGCTGGAGTTTCACTAAGTCTAAGACAATGTTTTTTTCACATTTTAACCTCTTTGAACTTTGGGTGTGTTTTACAGTTGGTGGCACTTCATAGTCTAATTGTGGGAGCACATTCTTGGTGATACATGCTTTCCCTTTCAATGAAACAGTCTTAGATTCAATGGCAAGTGACCAATCTGTTATCATTTGAAAACCACATGGAAGTGGCATGTCCACAGGTCATCTTATCCATGCAGCTCCTTCCCCTACTTCTAATTGTGACCCAGCCCCTGCCTGGGTACATTTCCATCCTCTGCTTCCAGCCTCCCTCTCACTTGGAGAACAAGACCCAGGGCTTGCAGTCTTCTAGTGGGGTCAAAAGCAAATAGGAGCTGTGGGTCCCACAAAAGGCCCTGGGGAGCTAGGGAAAGGGTGACACTGAGCTCAAGGTTAACCCAGTGAGAGGTGGGGTAACGGGGTAGTATGGCAGCTGATGGAGAAAGGAGTCATCTCAATGACCCACGGATCCTGCTCACCTTCCCGATGTGGGGGTTCCTCTTTGGGCTTGGGGTGCATTAAGGTGAAGGGCAGTTCCACAGCCACGTCACTGAAACACAGACAGAAACCCAGCAATCCTGGAGGTGAGCCTTAAGGCTGTGAGACCCTCCCACTCTTTTTTTTTTTTTTTCATTTTTCTTTTATTATTCATGTGCATACAAGGATTGGTTCATTTCTCCCCCTGCCCCCACCCCCTCCCTTACCACCCACTCCACCCCCTCCCTCTCCCCCCCCAATACCCAGCAGAAACTATTTTGCCCTTATTTCTAATTTTGTTGTAGAGAGAGTATAAGCAGTAATAGGAAGGAGCAAGGGTTTTTGCTGGTTGAGATAAGGATAGCTATACAGGGCATTGACTCACATTGATTTCCTGTGCGTGGGTGTCTCCTTCTAGGTTAATTCTTCTTGATCTAACCTTTTCTCTAGTACCTGTTCCCCTTTTCCTATTGGCCTCAGTTGCTTTAAGGTATCTGCTTTAGTTTCTCTGAGTTAAGGGCAACAAATGCTAGCTAGTTTTTTAGGTGTCTTACCTATCCTCACCCCTCCCTTGTGTGCTCTCGCTTTTATCATGTGCTCATAGTCCAATCCCCTTGTTGTGTTTGCCCTTGATCTAATGTCCGCATATGAGGGAGAGCATACGATTTTTGGTCTTTTGGGCCAGGCTAACCTCACTCAGAATGATGTTCTCTAATTCCATCCATTTACCAGCGAATGATAACATTTCGTTCTTCTTCATGGCTGCATAAAATTCCATTGTGTACAGATACCACATTTTCTTAATCCATTCGTCAGTGGTGGGGCATCTTGGCTGTTTCCATAACTTGGCTATTGTGAATAGTGCCGCAATAAACATGGGTGTGCAGGTGCCTCTGGAGTAACCTGTGTCACAGTCTTTTGGGTATATCCCCAAGAGTGGTATTGCTGGATCAAATGGTAGATCGATGTCCAGCTTTTTAAGTAGCCTCCAAATTTTTTTCCAGAGTGGTTGTACTAGTTTATATTCCCACCAACAGTGTAAGAGGGTTCCTTTTACCCCGCATCCTCGCCAACACCTGTTGGTGGTGGTGTTGCTGATGATGGCTATTCTAACAGGGGTGAGGTGGAATCTTAGCGTGGTTTTAATTTGCATTTCCTTTATTGCTAGAGATGGTGAGCATTTTTTCACGTGTTTTCTGGCCATTTGAATTTCTTCTTTTGAGAAAGTTCTGTTTAGTTCACATGCCCATTTCTTTATTGGTTCATTAGTTTTGGGAGAATTTAGTTTTTTAAGTTCCCTGTATATTCTGGTTATCAGTCCTTTGTCTGATGTATAGCTGGCAAATATTTTCTCCCACTCTGTGGGTGTTCTCTTCAGTTTAGAGACCATCTCTTTTGATGCACAGAAGCTTTTTAGTTTTATGAGGTCCCATTTATCTATGCTATCTCTTAGTTGCTGTGCTGCTGGGGTTTCATTGAGAAAGTTCTTACCTATACCTACTAACTCCAGAGTATTTCCTACTCTTTCTTGTATCAACTTAAGAGTTTGGGAGACCCTCCCACTCTAACTCCACCTCTCTCCCAACACCAGAGGAGGCTCCTGTAGAAGTGCTCAGGTGACCATAGTGCCCTGCCATCTGGACAAAGCACTGTTGAGGTCAGTGTCATCAAGCCAGGCTAGAGGGAACCCAGGGTCGAGGGCTCTCCATATCACGTATAGAGTCTGACACCTTGTAGAGGGCAGAGGAGAGGGGCCTGGGGAAGAACCGGCTTCCAGCCGGTGCTAGTGACCAGACTTTCTCTGCTCTTGTCTCTGTCACTGATAATAAAAGCAGACCCTGGGCACAGTACTGACTCTGTGCCGAGGACTTCCAAGCCCATCCTTAGACTTTATTCTTTTGGCGGGGAGAAGGGGGTGGGCCTGGGGTTTGAACCCAGGGCTTCAAGCTTGCAAAGTAGACACTCCGCCTCTTGCTCTGGTTATTTTGGAGATGGGATCTTGCAAGCTATTTTCCCAGGCTGGCCTTGAATCGAGATCCTCCTGATCTCAGCCTCCCAAGTAGCTCTTTTAATGCTCACAGCAACCCTATTATTATCCCCAGTGTATAGACTGGGAAAATTAGGCATGAGAAGATTAAAGTCTCTTGCCTAAGGCTGCACAGTTACTACTGGTAAGTGGTTGATGATTCTAGCTCCATAATTCAGCTCTTTAGCCACCATGTAACAGCTGAAGAATTGACAAAAAGGGCCCTGAAGGATCAGGGGTGGCATCATTCTAGGACACCACCCCCTCCTTGATTGTGAGTGCCTCCAGGCAGAGCACATTTTACTGATCTTGTTGCCCAGGCTCAGCTAGGAAGGGGGAAGGGTTGGAGAACGGTGTGGTCAGGGACAAGCCAGCCCTGCCACTCACTGATGGTACAGTTTACATCTCTAGACTCCCTAAACTTATCTGGAAAATGTGGGTAATGCCTACTGTCTAGTACCACTGAACTTCTAGAAGATACAGGTAAGACATGATTAAGCTGTGAAGCTTGTGCCTGTCAGAATCCTTACTTCCTCTCAATGGGAACATAGTGGGGAGGGGTGATAGGCTGTCAAAACAATTTGGCTTTTTTTTTTTCTTTTTCTTTCTGTTTGGTTTTTTAGGCTTTTTTATTTTTATTATTTTTTTCTTCCAGAGGGATCTTCCCTAGGTTTTCCTGGAACAGTGAGTCATCCAATGGAAGCTGGTGAAGACTGAGTTTGCCAGTCTTCACTATGGCCATGCAGGATGTGGCTGAATCTGGACCTTAACCTTTCACCAGGCTGTGAGCAATAAAGAGCAGGGGTGCTTCTGACTCCTCTTGGGACTTCAGCACCAGCACAAGCCTGGGTGCAAGTTTGGACTCAGAAAGTCTTTCTGAATTATACTGAGCTGAACTGAATTAATTTTGCCTCTCAAATTGGGCTCAGATTTCTTAGGATGAGCAACGTTGCCATCTTGTGACAGGGGAGACCAAACTGCCATGGTCAATACACACAGTTTTGGAAGTGTAAGTCCATCAGATTGGGTACAAGGAAATCTTGTCTACAAAAGTGGGTCTTCTAAGGGCCCGACTCAGCCAGCAGTGAATTGTCAGCAGTGCAAAAGTTTGAAAGTCACAAAGCCTACATTTCTTCTAAACATCTTATAATTCAGATAATCAGTAATTCAGTTGGCCCACCTGGGGCCACTCCCCAGATCACTGCTGTCTAATAAAGTCTCTGTCACTTGAGTGGGATGGAAGAGTAGGGTTAGGCACTTTACATCGAGCCATGTCCCCCTAGTCCCTCTGGGAGAGGTTTCTAGCCCCAGCATAGACCTGAGCCTGCGATCTAAAATGACCACTAGATTCCTTCCAACCCAGTGCCCTGTGGTTCTGGTCAGCCAGGCCAATGGTCCCTGAGCTCTCCAGGAAAATGGTTCAAGCAGGGCAAAGGAGGGACTTTACCTGGATGCAAGATCTCCCAACAGGCTGGGTGGGTGAGTGAGGCAGGAGAAGTGGTCAGGAGAGAGTGCAGAGTGGAAGAAAAGAGAAAGCAAATTTATTCACCACCTCTGCTGCCCAGCAGAGAGCAAACCCAAGAGACACACTCCCCACTCTTGTATAGTTCTGACCACCCACCCAGGGCACTGACATAGGTAGCATCAGCTAGCAGGGGATAAATTACAGGCCAGGCTCAGCAGACTCCCTGGGCCTCAGGATCTTCATCTGTGAAGAGGGCGTAAGAACTAACCTCCACTCCCTGACTATCTAATGGAAGAAGGAAGTACTTCCTTCCAGGGACAGCAGGAGCATATGGACAACTGTGAGTCCAGCAAGATCACAAGACACAGAGCTTGGGATTTGGGATTTAGAGATATCCTACAATATACAGTTTGTATTATATACTACCACATGCAGAGCCATTTTTCTCATTAAAAATGGACTTAATGTCTAACGTTACTTCATTTTTCAATCTCTCTACAGAAATATATAAAGTAAATTAGAAAAAAAGAAATCCCCTTAACAAATTAAAAACCATAATTCTCAGTATACAGCATATAGGCCCAGTGCAAGGGGAAATGGGGTTTTTTTCTGAGCTTCCACCAAATTACAGTTAAGGTAAGGAATATGTCTGGTCCTCTGCTGTGACCCCAGCACCTGGCCCATGACCTGAGATGGGAGGAGGAGGGTTCAGGGAATAACTGAGGAACTGTTTGAGTTTCCATTTCTCCATCTATAAAATGGGAAAGTCTACCAAGCTAACAAATCCCAATCTAGCTCTGGGATTATGAAGCCCTTTAGCTGTTTTTCCAAAACAGCTAAAGACAAAAGAGGGGGTGGACACTGTGCCCCAAGGCATGGCAGTCCCTGGACCCACGATACAAACTCTGAGGATGTATGGCCCTGCCCTTCCCAGGCTGTGCCAAATCCTCAGTTCCAGGCCCAACCCTGGATAAAGAGAAGGAAGAGAGACATGGAAACATGGGAGGGAAGAGAGTGGCTGGGGGCCAAGGGAGGAAGAAGAGAGGGAAGGGGTGGAACAGGAGCAGGAAGAAGAATGGGAAGGAAGAAGGCCCCACAGGAGGATGCACCTAAAAAGTCAGGCAAATAGGTAGGATGCAGCAGGGAGCTGCAGACCCCTCTGCACTCAGGGGTCTTGGACTGACTAGGGCACTCACCCGCCCCGAGACACCACCAACTTCACTTTCACTTTGTAGGAAACAATGATTCCCAGGATCTCACGGTTGGCACCTTCCCTCAACCTGCAAGGTGACACAGGAGAGCTGGTCCATAGGCTCACCGGTAGGCAAGATACAACAAGAGTAGTGGGGGACGCTGCAGTAAGCGACACCACTACCCACTCTGCTCCTGGGCCACTCAGCTACTATGGCCAACAGAGGAGGTGAAAAAGGTGAGTTGTGTCCTCTGAGCTGCAACTTGGGCCCTGAATTCCACATCTGGTGGGCGATACCCTGGTTCTGTGGCTCTGGCCAGCCTCCCTCCCTCCATGCCTGGCCAGTGTCCCCTCAGTACAGCGAGGGTGGACCCTAGTATCCCATGGATTCACGTCACTACCCAGTCTTGTGCTCAGCAACCCATGGGCAGAAAGGAGGCTGGGTGTTCAGAGTGAGGCGGGGGCAGCTGGGGCTGGGTGGGAAGGGAAGGACATTTCTGAGGAAGGGGTACCCCCATCACCTGGGTTTTGAGTATAGATAGACTTTGAGCCAGACTAGGTACATGAGCAGCCTGTGTAGGGGATGATGAAGAAATGGTCTGGCCCAAGCCAAGAGTCTTGACTAGGAGTGGTGGCAGGGGTACCACAGAGAGAGGCCAAAGCCAAAGGCCAAAAGGCCAAACCTTGGCAGGGAGACTGAGATAAGGACCCCTTCAGGGCTGTGCTACAGTGGGGTGACTCTGAGGGCCCAGTGGTGCCATGGGTCAAAAGTGACCAGATGGCCTTGGGCCCCTGATGTGGAAGGGCATCCGCATCTGATCTGCCCAGCATACTGCCCAGTCCCTCCAGACTCCCCAAGCCCTTATTCATCCCCTTTTGCTAGGACCCTTCCAGGAGCCACTCCCCCACCCCTTGCTTGGCCTCAGGGACACATTCTAGCTTGCTCAGGATTCCAGGTCAGGAGCTGCCACCTCTTGCAGGAAGCCTTCTAGCTGTCTCTCCATGGGCCAGCTGGCAGGACTGGCACTGCCTAAGCAAGTTGGGTCTAGTGGTTCCTGTTATTTTCTGGGTAGGTGGGAGTAGGGGAATGACCTCTCTGACTGGTGAAGTTCCTAAGGACAGGTGGGATAAGGCTGGGGGAAGAGGACAGCCTGAGCCTTGTCATCATACTGGTGAGACCAAGAAGAGTGGGGCCACCCTGAGGGAAAGGCACCAGGAGTCTGGGATTAAAATAGCAGTCCTCACAGGGTGCTGGAAGCCAGGTTCGTGTCTTCATGCTTGAGCTTCCCATCCAGGGCAAGGCCCCGCTTCTCTCGATTGTTGGCCAGGAAGGGGGTCAGCGTGTAGACCTTGCAGAATGTTGAGCTGGGTGCCACTGTGTCACTGGGGACAAGGGAGCCAAGTGTGGAAATGTCCCTCCCCACAGCCAGTTCTAGCCCTCAGTCCCAACCCATCTAGGACATCTAGACTGGCTGTGCCTAAGGTAACCTCTGTCCCCAGATGCAGGGACCATGATCTAGCAGAGTACCCCAAAAGAGGAGCATCTACACCTCGCACAAACAGGATAACCCTGAGCTAGGAAATAGCATAATGCTAATCAGTACATGCTACATAACAAACCACGAATGAAGCTACTGAACATCTACAAGCCCACCACCTGGGTTCTGCAATTAAACTTGACTGCCTTGATTACATATTGATCCATCATGGCATATTTAGACTGTTCAGTTTTTACTTGTTTTTGCTCTCTGTCTCCTTTCTCTTTCCAACAAGACAGCTGCATGCAGCAGACAGTGAGCTAGTCCTGGAGTTGACCTTGGCTGTGTGGCTATCTCCTGCTAGCACAATGAGCCTAGCAAGTCATACCTCATCCACATACCAGGCTGGTAGTAGTCCCAACTCTAGAGGGCTCCATGAGGAGTGCAAATAGCTCCCCTCCCAACTGTGTGGTACATCTTAGGACTCAGGGCCCCGCTCTGGAGACTGCACATCACTCTGGCTCTACATAACTTCACCACACTCCCAGCAGGAATCTCTGTCTGAAGGCTTTGGTTTTGTTTTTAATCAACAGTGGATTGGGAGATGTTAGGTCTAATCATCACATATTCACCTATAGGCCACTAAAAACTATCTCAAAGACCACACATCACATTTTAAAATGTTTTTAAGTCACAAAAAAATACAATTTTTAAGTCTAAAAATTAACATTGCAATTAGACACAATTCCACATATATGTGTAAAATAACTGAAGTGCAACTGCCAAAACAAATTATTTGCAGGGCTAAGAGAAAAACATGGGCATGTCTTCTACTGAGAGTACGCATTTCCTTCAGGTAACTGAAGGTATCGCTTCTCGGCCTTTTGGCTAAGATCAAGTGTAGTATCAGGTAACTGAAGGTGTTTCACTTGAGATCTCTCAGCTTATCTTCCAACAAGCCAGAGACAAAGTTCCACACTCAACCTTGGTAATGTTCCTCAAACCTAGGCTTTTTTTTTGGTTTTTCTATACTTACTGTCTACCCTCCCACACATAACCCCTTACAGCCAATGAGCTAAATCACTCCTTTATCAGAAATGGAAAACTGTTACTGCCTTGACCTTGGCTCTGAGGAAGTGTCTCCCTTCCACCAAGGTTTCTGGTACAGTGTAACTATTCTCTCTCCACAATTCCAGTTCCCTTTCACTTGTTAGCTCTTGTTTTGTCATTCTGGTTTTAGTGGACCTTATCCTTGACTGTAGTGTGCATTGCCTTGTAATTAATTCAGGTGGTTCTCGAAGGCTCTTTCACATCATTTACTCTGAGTGACAAGGAAGGCTGAGGCCTAGCCTGCTGCAGGAGAGGAGCTACCTGGGCCTGCGACTGAACCTAGAGCTTCTCTTTTTCCCACTCAGTCCCACATTCCAAGGCCCATGTGCACTTACTCAGCCTCCTCCAGGGCCACAGGGCACTTGTACTGCGCCGTGTTAAAGAGGCAGATGTCGGCATACTGGCGCACTGGGGATGGAGAAGGAAGCAGGCACATTGAGGATGCTCAGCCCCAGGAAATGGTCCGAGTCCACCCAAGGGGGAGCCCCCCAAACACCCATTCCCTTCCATAACCAAAGGCGATGTCTCTTCCAGAACAGCTTTGCCAAGGAAACCTGTGAGGAGAGGTGGTCTGAACAGTAAACCCATTGCCTGGCCATGAGCAGCCCAAGGAACCAGCTGAAAGTCCCCTCAAACTCTTAGGCTCAGGGCAGGCCCTGGACCTCAGAAGTTATTGGTGGTAGTTACCACATTCCTCCCCGCTGCTGCAGGTACTGGGGTTTAAACTCAGGGCCTCACACTCACCAGGTAAGCACTTACCACTTGAGCCACACCCCATTCCCTTTTATTTTAGTTGTTCTTCAGATAGGATTCCATGCTTTTGCCCAGGCCAGATCTAGACTATGATCTTCCTACTTCTACTTCCTGAGTAGCTGAAATTACAGGTGTGAACCACTGCACCCATCTTATTACAGACTTTTTTTTTTTATGGACTACTTTACGAATTTGCATTTCATACTTGTGCAGGGGCCATGCTACCCTTCTCTGTATTGTTCCAATTTTATATATGTGCTGCCTATAGACTTTTAAAAGGGCAAGTCATCAGCTATCACAACCCTTGGGAGGGTTTCCTCTACCCACCCCCCAAGCTGACTCTTTCCCCACAGTACCCGAGATCTTGATCTTCTTCACAGTCTTGTTGGTGTTGTTGGTGACATGGACATTGACACTGATGGGTTCTCCATGGTAATAGATCTGAGGGCAGAAGAAGGGACAATGTAGACCAGAAAGACACCAATGTTCTAGGTAAAGAGGATGGAGAAAAGGTCCTTCTGGGCTTTCCCAAACCTTGCTTATTCTAACCTTGGCTCCAAGTTTGTGAGACACATCCCATTAATAGAAAGGTGGCACTCAAGCCACCAAGTATATTAGCTTTGGTTCCCTTATAGGATACTTGAAAGATAACGGAATTCGAAGGTGATTATCCCAGCATCGGTCCCGTCCTGGCCACCAGCAATAATGACAACAATAGAAATAGCAATAATGGCAGTAATGGTGTTGGGCAGGTTATATAAGCCTCAGTTTCCCCCTCTGTACAATGAGGGGTTAGATAAGGTGATGTCTTGAGTCCCTACAGGCTCTGGTGTTCTGGGATTTCAGATGCCAGAAGCTTTGAAAGAAGCAGAGGAAGGGGAGGAAGGCTGCTAAGCTCACTGAGGGAGCCAACTCTGAATCCCAACCTTATCTCGTCCCAAATACTTGCCTTCAGCTGCCCCCAGGAAGGAAGGGGTGCCCACATCTGAGGAGAGGCCCACCTGAGCTCACAGCTGGTATTAGTCAGCTGGCTCAGAGTCCCTGCCGTCTGTGGGCTTTGTTGGCCCATAGCTCAGGGCTACATAGGGTAAAGCAGGGCCCTGGCCCTGCTGTCCTCCTTGGGTTGGTCTTTACTACCTGGCCTGTAGCAGGCAGTTGGTGGGGTGAAGGAGAGATGACCAGGACTCCTCTGGAGAGTATGCTGCTCCTGTCTGAAGTCACCTGCACCACCTCAGGCCTATGACTGCCTCTGCCTCTCCTTAAGGCCCCAAAAGGGTTCCCCAAACAGAGGCCAGAAAAGAGGGGGATCTGAGGCCCAGGCCTGGGAGAGCAACCCCACTCTGCTGAGTCCCAACCTCCTACCTCCTTGTCCAGGGATGCCTCTAGATGCAACGGCTTGTCTGACATAAGGAACTGCCTGGTGGTCTCAGCTGTGGGCTGGGGGCCAGGCCTCTCTGGGGCATACTGAACCTTCCGGATGACCAAGCGCACAGAATTCCTAAAGGAAATGGGTAGGTGAAGATGGCCAGAGTCACCTGCCTCTATCCTCTTTCTCTGTAATCCCCACAGAGGATCCCCAGCCAACCACAGAGGATGGGCTAGACAAGGGGCCTTGTCACCACCTGGCCCAACTCTATTCTCTCCCACCCCCACCCTATCCCCAAGCTACTCCATAGCAGCATTTCACTTGGGTCTTGGTATCCAGCAGGATGGTAAGAAAGGAACTGTTTTCACCTCCTATCTCCCTAAGTCACCTGGTAGTGTAGGTTCCTTAAGGACAGAATTTTTTATTTAAATTTTTCACTGTTAAATTCCCAGCATCTATGACAGTGCCTGACAGATAAATATCCATTAAATGAAAATATAGAGAGGGGTTTGGAGCCTCATGAAGAAATAGGGGCTCAGCAGATAGATTCAGTGAGGGAATACAGGCCAGTGAAGGGGTACACTCAGTGAGGAGGTGGAGGCTCACAGATGAGAAGGGCACAGTGAAGGTGACAGGGTTCAGAGTACAAATAAGGACACACAAAGCTGGTGAGAGGATGAGGACTCCGTGAGGTCATCTCTGTGCCACACTAAGGATGCTGGCATCCCATTTCCACTCCCTGGAACCAGACAGCCAGGGTTATGCTCCTAGCTCTCCTCTTACTAACCATATGACCTTGAGCGAATTGGCCTCACTGTGCCTCAGTTTCTTCATCTGTAAAGTGGCACTTCCCTTTAAGGGTTGCTGTGAGGATTAACTTAATCCATACATGTCCACACTCTGAACATGTTACCTAGTAAGGCATTGAGAAATGATAGCTTCTCCATCATTACTACCAGTAAGTCCCCAGTGGGGGTGGGGTGAGGATGGTGGCTGTTAAAGTCGCTTCCTCTCCCTTGCTCTCTTCCACAACCCACAGAGCCCTTCCTTCCCTGCTGGTATCAGGTCTTAAGAGGAAAAGGAAAGGGGGACAGAAGCAAGAAAGAAGGGTCTCAACTTTCCCCACATGTGAGCTGCCCAGGCTGTAGATGAAATTGCCTGCAATACACCCTATAGCCACCAGGTGGAAAACTGCCACTGCCTGAAGGGGCATTGAGTTGGGCAGCCATGAAAAGTTAGGGCCAGCTGCTTCCAGCAACCAGCCTGCGCTCTGTCTACAGTGCCACAGGAGAGTCTGTCCCCTCTCTGAGACATGGCTAACCCCCTCACTTTGCCCTGGGTGGGTTCACTTTCTCCACTTCCCTCCCTTGTTCAGATGCCTCCACTGACATACAGGCTCTACCTTCTGCCAATGGCCTCCCAAGAGACCGATGGGGAAAAGGGGAGGGCCTGGAGACTTCCTGCTAAACATTGAACACATTCTTAATGTAGAGTTTTTCCGAAACTGAAAAGACTGCAGGTGGTTTGCAGGGGAAGAGATTAGACGGCGGTAGAGGGGTAAGGAGGAAAGTGCACAGTCGTGTAAAGGAGAAGATGCTGAGGCTGGACCCGGGGCACTGAGGCCATTCCCTCAAGCCCACCATGACATGACCTTCCAGACTTTCAGAGTGCCTTCTCAGAGCTCCAGAGCCAGGCTGGAGCATGCAGCTCCTCTGCACACACTCCAGGCGTCCTCCCAGTTCCTCTTAGGACTTGCCCTCCTGCCTCTCCTTCCCTTTCCACACCCAGTGCCCTGCACACCTTTTGTGGATCTTCTCCTCCAGGTTCTCGGCACAGAAGGCTTTGACTTCATAGTCCACACCACAGGCCTGTGGAGGAAGCACTGATAACCACAGGGGAGCAAGGGCTCCCTAACACAGGGCCAGCCCACCCTCTCATCTCACAAACCAGGGCTCTGGAAGGAACACCAAGATCCCACTGCCTGAGGGTACCTGAGTGTCGCTCCAAAGCCCTATGACCCTCTGCAGATGCCTCCCCCACCAACCTTCCCACTGAGCTGCTCCTGAGGCCCCGCATCAACCATCCCAAACCACCCTGGCTATGCTCTACCCTTGAGAGTCCTGCTGCCTGGGTTTGGGTCCCCATCAAGAAATCACAACAGGCAGCATGACTGGAGAACCCTGGGTGCTGACCCTGTGCTGGGTGGCTTCAGTCTCCCCTATCCTCCAACAGCGTGAAGGGGTTCAGAGGCCTGGACACTAGTGGTGTTGCTCTTCTCTGAGCCTCAGGTGTGTCATCCCCCCACCCCCCACGCCATTCCCTGTACAAGGTTGCTGGGGGTTATGTGAGGGCAGGTGTAGGTCCTCAGAACATCTTGGTCCTATTGCAGCCAACACCATGACCAGTGAGAGTGACTCAGGAGAGCCTCTGATGTGGCATTGAATGGGAATGAGGCTGGCACAATCTGCAGCCTTGTCTAAACAGACTGGTTGTCAAAGGGGGTCAGCCAGGCCTAGGCCCAAGAAAGCTTCACAGGGAAGGTGGTCTTGGGTGTCCACCCTCTTCCCTGGGAACATAAGAGTCTGGGACCTACAGAGACACTCCCCCTAGGGTGACATACCTTCCCTGTGTCTTCAGGCCCTGGCTGCAAAGTCACAGAACATGGAAGGTTTGGTGGGATCTGTTTAGAAGACAGACAGAAAGAGTTGCTTGTCACATCCACCACTGTCACTCTTACACACTCATCAAATTAAAGCCCTTGAGGATAGGCTGTTTCTCCCCCTTTAGATCTAGAGACCAGTCTCCTCCAACAGACTAGAGTCTCTGAGGACAGGCCATGTCTCCCCTACCATACTAGGGGTCCCTGAAATAAGTTGTGCCTCCACCATTAGACCATGCCACACCGTGCCCCAAATAGACCCAGAGGCCTCACTGGTGAAACCAAAATTTTGAGTGTTCTTTATCTAAAAGATTTAGTCCAGCGCAGTCCTCATACCAACAGTTGAAAAAGAACTTTCCATGATGTCCACTGGGGTAGTAGAATAATGGCTCCCCAAAGACTCTCATGTCCTAATCCTCAAAACCTGTGACTATGTTCCCTTACATGACAAAAGGGTTTTGCATCTGTGATTACATTAAGGCTCTTTAGATGGAGAGAGTAGCCTGATTTATCCAGGTGGACCCAATGTAATTGCAAGGGTCAGAAAAAGAGGAAGCAGAGGGTGGGATGCGATGGTACACACCACTCAGAAGGCTGAGGTAGGATTATAAGTTTGGAAGCCAGCCGACATAGTGAGACCCTGTATCAAAAAAACCCACAATAACAAAAAACCAAGAAGCAGAAAGCCAAAGAGTCCTTGCCAGAAGGGATGTGAGAAAGACTCAACACACACCATTACTGGCTTGAGGGTGGAGGAGGGGGCCACAAGCCAAGGAATGTGTGCGGCCTCCAAGGAATGTGAAGCTAGAAGAAGCAAGGCAACAAATTCTCCCCTAAAGCCTCAAGAAGGGAACAGTCTGCCAACACCTCGATTTTGGCCCCAAGAGACCCATTTTGGAGGTCTATTAGTGTGTTTACCACCACGCTTGTGGTCATTTATAACAGCAACCATAGGAAACTCATACATGTACATGGGAAAGAGAATTCCACATGCCCGCTCCTGCCTCTGAAAGGGAGGGGAGTGCACTGACTCACAGAATCAGACAGTTTGAAATTCAGAATTTTGGAATCTGGGACCAGAAAGGTGTCAGGGTGGTAAAACCCACTATCTGCATCCCTTCTGATGAGTAGGGCTGAAGCTGAGTAAGTGGAGAGCCTGAAGGGAGACACATTGTAGTGTCCCAGGGACTCGATAGGGCTCCTTCCCTCTCTGAAGTCACTCTTGAGTCCCCCTTTCTCCCCTCCAGTGACATGGAGGCAGGAGGGTCTGAGGAGTAGCCCAGAGGGTGACATGCCCAGCAGTGGCCAGAGAAGAGACACTTACCAGGTAGGGTAAGTGACAGTGCCCAGGTCCCAACATACACTGGGGATCTGAGTGACACAGAGCCACTGCACCACTGCCCTATGTGCCCTCCCTAGGTGCTTCCCAGAGGTGGTACTTCTGGAATATGCCCCAGGTGGGCTAGCTGGTGCCCTGACCTCAAAGGTGAAGGGGTAGGCGTGCTCTCCCAGCTTCTTGATGAGGCGTTCCTGTAGCCGTGTCAGAGGCTTCTTGTCCTCAGGAGCTGGTGGGAAGGACTGTACATTGGCCACAAACAGGTCCTTGCGAAAAGTCAGGCCCAGGACATCCAGGTCTTCCCGGCCATAGCGGAAGGCACAGGTCAGCGTTACATAAACTGTGGGGAACAGGAGCACTGAGGAGTCTAGACGTGCCACACATAAGCACCCCAGAGCACTAGCCACAGCCCTGGGATTTGCCCCACTGGAGGCCACAGGCCTGGCTCAGGCTCCTGTAAGGAGGATGCACTATCTCTCTCGAGGGGCAGAGACTCTGTACTTGGGAAGGCAGCTGTGGTGCAGCCCCCTGCGAGGAGGTAGAAGCCGCCCACCAGGCAGTTCTGTCTTCCTCTGTTCAGTCCAGCCCGGGAGTATGAAGGGGCTCAGAGAATGGTTCAATAGGGTGGTGATGACAGAAGTAGGCTGGCAGGCTTGGACAGGTGGAGCAGGGAAATCCCAGGGGAGAAAAGCAAGTGCAAGGCCAAGCCCAGAAAGCAGGGAGCCTGGCCTAGCCCATCCCTGATCTTGCACAATCCCTTCACTGCCCCGGTTTCACCTTTCTGTCTGTAAATGAGACCCTAACTCCTGCCCTGCTGGAACCAGTCTTGCCATGGTCATGACATGTTGGTGAGGAAGTGCTTGGGACATTGACCAGTTCTCCCCAAGTGGGTATTGGAAAGGGGTACCCCACACTGGGAGAGACCAGAGCTCCTCCAGCTGTAGAACTCACTGGGGCTTTCAGAGAACCAGTTGGGATGGACAAGAAGCAGCAAGAGGAGCCAAGGTCTTGCCTGGGAGTCAGGGAGGCCCTGTACTGAGGTTGGTGGGGGAGGAGGCTCCTGGCATGCTCGGGGCTGGGGACCAGTTTACCTCTCCTCTCTTTGAGATACTCAGGATCCACCAGGACCACACCATCTAGGGGAGAAAAAGAGTGAGTGGGCTGCCCCAACTTGACCTCCCAAACTAGAATCCCAATGCCCATCTGGACCCAAACCCAAATTCAATCCAGCTATCTGCCCATCCAAAGCATCACAAGAGAGGTGGGAGGGCCAGTGCCCAGGAATGACACGCCCACCTCTTGGCTCATCTCCACCAAGCCCCACTTTCTGTACCAGAAACCAGCCAGCACACCCAGCTGTGGACCTGGGCAAGTTTCTTCTGTTTCTTCATCTGTTAATTAGGATATTAATCTGGCCAGGTATACCTTGGAATTCAGAAGTTTTGAAATGTAGAAAGACAATATAGTACATGCACCATAAAGCACTACCTTCTGCAGGATGTGTACCCTATCAAGCCACACACATACCTCTTTGGGGAAACACAACTATGGTCACGTGCCAGGTAACAATATTTCAAAGGACCACATAGATGATGTAACTTGGAAATATTGTATGGCCTGGCACTGGTGGCTCACACTTGTAACCCTAGTTACTTGGAAGGCTGAAATCAGAAGGATCAACATTTGAAGTCAACCCAGGCAAACAGTCCTCAAGACTCCATCTCTAAAGTAACCAGAGCAAAATGGACTGGAGGTGTGGCTCAAGTGGTAGAGTGCCTGCTTTGCAAGTGTGGAGCCCTGAGTTCAAACCAAAAAAAGATTATATGACCTAGCATCAGGCATGGTAGTGCATGTCGTAATCCCAGCACTCAGGAGGCTGGAGGATCACGAGTTTGAAGCCAGCACTGGTTACATATGGTGACCCTGTCTTGGGGGGGAAAATTATATCATCTAGTGACATTGTGATCACTGTATTCTGGCCAGAAAGCTAGGGCATAATCAGCCTTGCATGGGTTTAGGTCAGATTTGCCAATAAATGAACTCTATGTCAAACTTAAAAATAGTATTAGGTTTTCAGAGCTTTCTGGATTTGCGATCTGATTTTGACCTGTGAGAACAAGGGAGGAGTCTGTATCAATGTGCACATGTATAAAATGTGCCCCATGTGTAAAGTGCTTAGACAGAGGCAGGCACATGTGAGCACAATGGAGAGCATAGAATGTGCCTCGATGCCCCTCATGAGGCTTGACCTTGGGATTAGAGTGTTCAGCTGGCCACAAAGGATGTTTTCTTAACCTGACACCCCAGAGAGCCAGGAATACTGGCTGAGGGGTCACACCCTTGCCAGAGATGAGCATCCCAGCTCATCTCTGGTCAAACACTTCTCTCTCTCTCTCTTCTTCCGTTCTAAACCACAGCCACCCCACCCTGTGCTGCCCCCACAAGTGCTCAGGGAATCTCAGGCACTTTGAGTTAGTGCGTAGAGGTGTCCCAGGCCAACCATCCTGAGCAGATCCAGGGACAGCTGGTCAGGGTATGTCCAACCGTCCCCGGGGTCTGCCTATGCATCTTTGTTCCTTTTTTGGTAGACATCTCCTCTGTGCGTGGATTCGGGAGGCTAGTGAGAGAGGAGAGCCAAGTCTAAGGGTAAATGTCCCACTGACGCCAGGCATGATGGGTAATGAAGCATAGGGAGGACAGGCTCCGCTCAGCTACAGGACAATGTCATGGCAGACACAGTACTTCTCACTATGTCATGACATCAGCCCTGGACCTTCTGGGTCCTCAGGGACTAGAGGGACTGGTGGGGAGAGGAGGGCTGGCAGGAAGCAGGTGTTCTGAGGTGCTTACATGTATGATGGGAGCTAATTCCCTCTTGTCTTACCCCTTCTCCCAGCCTCTGCTGCTGTCCCTAAGAGGAAGATGGCTGGGTCTAACCCTGGCCTTGGAGAGCCCCTGATAACCACAGCTTAAACCTGACCATGGGCAAACACCCGGGATGTGTGCTCACTGTCTCTGAGAGGCCAGTTCAGAGAGAAGTATAAATGGCAGAAGGAAGCACAGATCTTCTAAAGACACCAAATACCATCCCCAGACAGGGCTGGAGAGGAAGAGTGGGGTTGTCCTGCCCCAGGTCACAAAGAGATGGGCCTGGAGTGGAGCATACGCTCCCATGTCTCCTGCCCAATACTGCAAATGTCTTCTGTGCTGAGCTGAAACTCACCACTGTGCTCTCCCTCCTCAGCTCTGGAACCATATGGGTCACTCCTGCCCCGTGGTCTCAGGGCAGCCCCCAGGGACACGGTGGAAGATGTCACCTTCTCTGGGATCATTTTCCAAGCAATACATCCCAGTGTCTTCACCTGGACTTGGCCTTGGGCAGTTTCCAGCTATTATCTTTGGATCATCTTGGTTTGTTCGTGTCCTTACAAATAAACTCTCTGGCCTCACTGTGCCGATTTGTAAAATGAGGTGATTCGGGACTTCCCTTCCCCAAGTAGTGATAGAAAAAGGCAATGGGACAAGGATCTTTTGACAAGAGCTGTGGTTCTGAACCAGCAGTGGTCGCTTGGCAAGCTGTCCTAACTGGGCTGCAGGACCCTCCTGGCATCTAGTAGGCAGAGCCCAAGGATGCTGCCTGACATCCTGCAATGCACGGGACAGACCCCCACCCAGAATTAGCCAAACTGAGATGTCAGGAGTGCGAAGAGTAAGAAACCCTGAATTTACCCAAGACCTTGGGAGCTGACTTTAGCCATTCCCAGCCTCTAGCACCTTGTAGGTGTGAGATCAGCCCCCATTTGACAAAACCAAGAAGGTTTTTCCCTCCACCTCCACCCTTTGCCATCAGGAGACCGTGGAGCAAAGGAGTTGTTGAATCCCCCCGACACATACACTTCTGCCTACTATCTCTGTGACCTGAAGCAAGTCACCGAGCCTCTCTGTGCCTCATTCTCCTGTCTGAAAAGCAAGATAATCACGATAGCTGTCCCCCTGGTCGACTACATAGTAAGCCTGAAATAAGTGGTGGATACTGCTGTCATTGCCCTTATCTTGCACCATGGCCAGAACACCCTCCTTGTTCCTCATCACAATCCTGATGGCAATTTCCTCTGAGGGGCCTCGCTCGAATGGGAAGGGGCTGCTCAGTAGGCAGTTGCTGACTGAGGCCATGTAGGCTGGAGCACCAAGCCCTCTGGAGACCAGGCTCTTCCCTGAGCCCTGGACCAGCAACCCCGTACCCCCAGCACTCACCCACAGGGTCCACGAGGTCGATGTGGTCCACAAAGTCCCGCTTTCCCAGGTAGACTGTGAGCTGAGGAGGAGAGGCACAGATGGCATTAGCAGCTGCGGGCTGGGAGGGCACAGGACTTACCTGGAGGAGACCTGGAGCTGCCTCTGAAAGCCCTAGATCTACCCCTGACCCTTACTGAAACCACACGAGGCTTGGCTCCCCAGCACAAGCCTAACACAACAAGAGCAAACCTCTGTAAAGTTTTAAAAGCACGTCTTCCTCCAAAACCCTATGAAGGAATTGCTACTGTTTCCATTTTACAGTGAGAACACTGAAGCCTAGGGAAATCTTCACACCAAGCACTACAGAGGGAGGAGTGACAGCAGCAAAGCAGGCCACTGAGCAGGAATGCTGGTCATCCCAAGGTGCTCTTTAGCTGCTCCTCCCTGCAGCCTGGCAGGGAGTCACTCATGTGAAGACTTGCTTTTTTGGGGCACTGAGGAATCAGGGAGCTACTTCCCTACTCAGGAGCCAGCCTGCAGGTAAAAACCACGAGCTAGAATTCCAGTGGCTTCAAGCTGAATCCAGAGCATCGTAGATCCTCCGTGCTCCCCAATGGTTCTGCCTTTGTGATATTTCTTAACTCTCCGCCCCCCCCTTTCCATTCCCCTGTCACCCTTGCCTGGACAACCATGTCAGCCAGCCCCTTAGTGCTTAGCAGCCTCACAGATATCAAGCTGTTCTCTCCTCCTTAACCTCCTTGGTTGTCTTAAAATGCAAATACAACCAATCAACTGTTAAAAACCCTTTAACAGTTCTGTGCCTAGAGGTAAGGAGGACAAGTGGGTTTCATTCTACAGAGGAAGTCAGATTGCTTAGTCAGAGGTACCTGGGGCCCTGGATGGAAAAGGAATCCAAGCTGGAATCCTGGCTCATCAGGAAAGGGTGAAAGGTGATTGGTGATTTCTGCTGTGGGCACCAAGTGGAGTGTGGAAACACACATGGTGCTCTTTGCCAAACCAGGCCACACGGGCTCCTAAGCCCAGCCACAGGACTCCTATGACCCCGCTCTGAGGCCACCCCAGCCTTCATCTCCACTGCCTTTGCTTCTTCTTAGCACTCAGACTCTACTGCCTGGGATGCCCCCACTTCCTCTGATTTATGTTCCTGCCTAGAAGGCCCCTTTTCACCTTGCTTTGCCTAGAAACTCATCCCTGCTAGAGGAAGTCGTGCTTGACCACCCAGCCCCTTGGTATTACTATATCTTACACTTGGCACTTTATGTGGAAATGATTGATCTTTACCTGCCCCCTCCTCCGCAAAAAAATCTGGCTGTGAGTGCTGTGCCTGACTCATCTCAGTACACCCTACCCAGTCCCCATGGACCAGCCCAGACCTGGCACAGGATTATGCCAGTAATATCCTTTTGCTGAACTGAAAGCAAAACAGGGTGGAGCATAAGGCCTGTGCAGAGAAAGTAAGGGGCACAGGCCCTGGCAGTCACTCTGGATAGTGAGGTGACACTGGGGGGGGGTCACTTCCCCAATGGCCCTTGCTGATAGGCTTGTAATCTATTTGTCACACTCACATTTAGGTCTCTACAAGAAGCCACTGCTTTCCAACTAGAATTTGGGCTCCCTGAAGTCCAGACAGAAAGTTACCAGAGGGAGCCCCTCCCTGTTGGATGGAGACTCCTGAGGACAGAGCTGTGTTGCCCTCAGATGGGAAGAGGTGGCTGGTCCTCCCCCATGTGGCTGTACCTTTCCCTAGAGATGCTGTTTCCTCTACTGGCCCACAAGAGTCTGGGCTCAGGGAGGAGACTGAATGAAGTCCCCCACTCACCTTTCCATTTGGGCTTGCCTTCTTGAACACCCTGTGGAGAGAAAGAGAGGTGAGGCTAGAGTTAGGGCATCCTGCCCAAGAAGGCTCCTGCAGGCCACCCTGTGGCCAAGCCATAGACAGGGTCCTGGAGTGATGGGCAAGCTGGAACAGAGCCCAGTATAACCAGCTCTTTCTTACCTTCTCCACGGATAACTCCACTAGGCCGCCATTCTCACCATTAACCATTAACCCTCCCGATACACACCGCCCTCTGTAGCCTGTTCTTCACACAGTAGGTTAAGGGAGTCTCAAAATGTTTGTGCCAAGAAAAAGCCTCAAGTGCCCGCAAGGTCCTTATGATCCGGCCCTGCCTTTGCCCAGTGTCACTTGCTGTGACCCCTGAGACTCTCCAGCCTCACTGCTGTTCCTCAAACCCACCTGGGTGGTTTCTGCCTCAGGGCCTTTGCTCTAGCAGCCCCAGCCCACACCACCCTCCTGGGATGCTCTCCCAAGACAGCGGCTTGCCGAACACCATGCTTTATTTGATGCTTCAACCATGCCCACCTGACTCCCAATCCTCTTGCTCTACTCTTCCTTTACCCACAGCACTCACCACTGCCTAACCTGCTATGTGCTTTGTTTGTTTATTTCATGCCTGGGCTGTCTCCTCTGGTAGCATGCCAGCTCCACCAGGAGAGGGTCTTTGTCTCTCCTGTCCACTGACGCATCACAAACCCTCATAATGGCATACCAATAAATATGTGATACCAATGGCAAGTGGCAGCACTCAATAAATACCAGTTGAGCCGGTGAATGGATGAATCAGTGAAGGAATCAACTCCCCTGCTTGACTGAGACACACAAGCACAGGAAAGGAGGGGACGTGCCTGTGGTCACACAGCAGAACACTGGACAGGGAGTCAGGCAGCAATGTAGTCCCCAACTCCTGAAAAGTGCTGCTTGCCTTCCACAGCACCTCCTGTCCTATCACTCAGCTGTAACTGGGAACTTGAGGTCCCCTTCCCTATCCACTGTCATCCAGCCCAGAATTTGTCAGAGTAATTGTTGGGAGGGAGAGAAGAAAAGTGAAAGACCCAGAAATGAAGAAGGTATTGAAAGAGAAGGGAGGGAAAGAGAGGGAAGAGGAGAGAAAGAGAAGGGGAGGAGAGGACAGGAGAGGAGAGGAGAAGGACACAGGTGTAAAAATAAAAGATGAAAAAAGAGAGAGAGAAACAGTCAGAAACAGAGAGAACTGGAACACACATGGAAAGTTGAAACAGGCCCACACGAGGCTGACAGAGATGTGTGCCCCCAAATCCTTCTCCAGAAGCAGGAGGTCTGCAGGCAACCTGGTGAAACTAACATGTCCTGAAACAGCCAATCCTCTGAGAAGGTGAGTGGAGTTGTGACTCTGTGCAGTCTCCGTAGCCCTAGCCCTGCTCCCCATTCTCACTTCTGGGGTCCCCAGGGACCACGGATGGGTCTGAGCATTGCTTGCAAAGAAGACCTTGGCACAGCAGCCCCCTCTCCCCCCCGCCACCCCCCACCTCCCCAGGGGCCCTGGGCTTTTCTCCTCATCATCAATATTTATCAGTGTTGAGAGTGTGAAGATGCCACAGTTGGCTGGGGTGTGATAATTGCTAAAGTGAGAGAAAACACAGATCACACAGTCTGAAGCAGCAGCTCCAAGCTGGGCTCAGCTTGCAGGAGAGACCAGAGAAGTGGCATAGACACAGACCCCAGCAACTTCCAAACCTCCAGCCCTCCAGAGCCCAGACTCTGTGAGAGAGGCCACAAATGCCCGAGAGCACAGATAACTGAGTCAGGAAAAGTCACTTCAGTGGCTGCTAGGAAAGACAAGAGGAACCCAGGAGTGTCTGAGCCAGGCTGGGAGGTGCAGTATTGAAAAAGAGAGGGATGGAAAGAGAGACTAACAATTGTTGAGTAATTATGTCTTATAACAGCACTACAAAATGGATCTTATAACCTCCTAGATAATTAACTGGAGGCTCAGAGAGATGCAGTAATTTGCCCAGGAACACATAGCAAGCAAGGGGCTAGGTCAGGATCTAGACCCAATTTTATCTCTGCCTCCAGAGGCTGGGAACTTTATACCCAACCCTGCTGTTTCCTAAAGCAGGTGTTTTTATCAACATCAGGAATAAAAGAAAAGAGGGGAAATGAGGGCAGGAGAGGGGAAGGGAAGAGAAAGAAATGAAAGGGTAAAGAGGGGCAGAGTGGAGATGACAAGGAGCAGGAAGCACAGCCAGCAACGGGGAATGTCCTGCCACTAATTTAATCAGTACCAAGGCCATCTCCTTCAGGAAACGGGGACTCCGGTGGCTTCCTCAAACAACAACAACAGCTGCTGCATTCCCTGAGATGTTTGTTATTCCCTAGTCAGGTCTCTTAAGTATTTTTTCCCAGAACACTGCTGATCCTTCCAATAATCCCATTTCAGAGACGTGGAAGTTAAGGCCCAGAGTGGTGACTCATCTGTCTCTTCAGCCTACACGCTGACCACCCCAACACACCATGAAGCCCTCCTTGAAACTCCACTGGCTTTTCACCCCAGCACTATCAGAAAAGAGGTCCCTGTAGAGTGTTCCCTATTTCCCAGGACCCCACATGTGCAATACCACACAGGCAACTCTGTGGTCAAGCCTGTGATCAAAGCCGAAATTCCAGGTATGGGAGGCTAGGTTTGGTTCAGCCCCCCAGCCTGATCTATGGCCCCAGCCACTCCTCAGTCACAACTGGGTTCCCATAAGAGAAATCTGACCTGTATTCTGGCTGATTAAGGCTTCCTAAAACCAAGGGAGAGTAGTTCAAGGGGAGGAGGAGGGGTACTAAAAGGACGCAAAAATCTCACGGGAAGGATGTGCAGGCAGGATGAGCAGGGGCTGAAGGCAGGAATGGGGAAGCCATTGGATCCTCAGGCAGTTGCTCCCTCTCTCCACCTCTCCTTCTGGGGCTGCATGTTCTCCCAGCAGCACGGCTGTCTGTGCGACTGCTCCATTGTCTCTATGGACCAGCTCTCTCTGCTTACTCAGGGCTTTTCTGCTCCTCCATCCTTTTGGCTTGCATGTGACTCACACTCCAACCCTGTTTCTACTCTGCCTCCTGCTCAGCTTCCCACTGCTAACTGGCTGAATGGCCCAATTCCAAATTCCCAGAAGGGGAATTTCATTGGTCAGCTTTGGTCAGGTGTCCCACTCTTGGTCCAACCAGTTATGCCCAGGGTGTATCTTGTGGTCCATGAGGCATGAGCAGAACAGGTTTTTAGTATAGTTGTTTTCTAAAGCAGGGGTAATAAGCCAGCAATTGACAATGAAATCAATGTAGTAGATTCTTTGGTTTCTAATGGAATAAAGTAAAATAGAAACTACAAGCATGCACTGGAGGTAGTGAGGGTATAGTACATATTACTATATTCAGCTTCCCTCTAAAGTTGGGTGTATGAGAGCATCAAACTTTTCTAGGCCTATGAAGTTAGACATGCCCATGTGGCTTGCTCTGGCTAATGAAATAGAAAAAATTTAAAAAAAAACGCATTTGGAGGATAACACTTCTCAAATTTCAAACCTTACTGCAAAGCTACAGTAATCAAGATTGTGTGGTACTGTCATAGAGACACATGGTCAATAAAAGAGAATCTGAAAGTCCAGAAATAAACCCATATTTTTACCAGCAATTGATTTTTGACAAGGGAGCCAAGACAAGTCAGGGGGCGGGGCGGGGGGGGGGAAGAACAGTCTTTTCAACAAATGATAAAGGAACAAATAGATATCTACCTGCAAAAGAAGGAAGTTAGACCCCCTACAAAAAAAATTAGCTCAAAAAAAAAATAGACCAAAGACCTAAATGTAAAAACTACATGTATAAAACTCTCAGAAAACATAGTGTAACTCTTTGTGGTCTTGGATTAGGCAATGGTTTCTTGGTATGAAAAGCGTGAGCAACTAAATAAAGCATACATGAAAATTAGCTGGGTATAGTGGCTTCATGCCTATAATCCTAGCTATTTGGGAGGCAGAGATCGAGAGGATCAAGGTTCAAGGCCAGCTTAGGCAAAAAGTTAACAAGACTCCATTGAACTAATAAGCTGGCATTGGTGGCTCATGCCTGTGTAAGCAGGAGGTTAACGTATGACCCAGCAAGTCCACTCCTAGGTATAGACCCAAGAAAACTAAAAACATCCCCACAAAAACCTACACATGAATGCCCACAGCAGTTTTATTTAAAACAGTCATAAAAATAAGAAAAGGGCTGGAGGCACAGCTCAAGTGGTACAGCACCTGCCTGGCAAGTGTGAGGCCCTGAATTCAAAAAAAGGTGGAAAAATGCCCATCAAGTGATGGATTTATAAGTGATGTGCTTTTTACATGTTGCATATACATATCATAAAATGGAATGAAATGTGACTCATGCTACAACACAGATGAACACTGAGTGCATTAGTCTAAACCAATGAAAGTGCATGGACCACATATTGTGAGGTTTCATTTACATAAAATGTCCAAGTTAGGCAAGTCCATAGAGATGGAAAATAGATTAGGGGGTGCCAGGGGCTGGAGAATAAGGGCAGACAGGGGAGAGTGCTAATGGGTTTGGCATTTCTTTGGGGGATGATGAAAATGTTCTAGAATTGGACAGTCGTGATGGTTACACAACCTTGTGAATAGACTAAAAACCACGGAAATGTACAATAATATGTGCATATAAGTATACAAACTATGTCTCATTTTTAAGAGACTGAAAGGAAAGGAAATGTGCCCAGATATTACAAGGTACTGAAGAAGACTCCACCCACCCACTCACTTCTTTATATTCCTTATGTTTCCACCTTGTACAATGAGTGTAAATCACTCCATTGGGGGCTGGGGCTTTCCTCACAAGGTACATCTTCAGTCTTAGAGAAAGGAGAGGCTGAAAGGAAATAGTGAGGTCAAGAAAAATTGGATCCTAAACTCTGAATGCTTGGATATCAGAGTCTCTAATTCTGTGACTATATGACCCACAGCCTGTATCACTGTGCTTTCTCAGGGGCCC